TTTCCTAATATATATATATATATATATATATATATATATATATATATATAATATTATATATTATCAAAATTTATCTGATAAAATCATTATAGTTAAATTAACAAAATAATAAAACACATTAAAGGGAACAATTTGGTCTTACAGATATTTTGCATACCTAAATTTTAGTCACAAAAAGTAAAATACACAATTAATTCACTACTTTATCCCATCTCCAGCTGGCTGTTTTGACATGTTTTAAACCCAATCTAAAATTATTATAAATTAAATAGTATTTTAAAATTTCTATATAAAGAATAATGAATATGATACAAAGCATTTCTCTCTCTTACCCATATCTTTTGAGAAATTGTGAAGATTCTTTCAATTCACTAGGCTTTCTAAAGTAGAAATATATACAGTAACACAAGAATGACAATAACATACATAGCAATTCTTTGCACAGTGATTCATGTTGTAGGCTTCCTTTCCCAAACTCAGGAAAATATTCTTTATATTAATTTACTTTGAATAGAAGAATCAACCAGTTATACAACTGTGTGCTTTTGCCAGAAGAGAAAGGAATGCAGAATGAAAATTCCCCTAATAATGCCCAAGGATTCCCTTTAGGACAAAGCTACTGGGCATTTTGGAAAGTACATGTTGTCCCACAGGGAATTACAGACTCTGAAATAATAAAATCAAGTCATTACACTTTTAAGATGTTAAATGGTATGGTATGTGAATTATATCTCCATAAGCTGGTTTTTATTTTTTTTTATATAAAGAGAGTTTATAACAGCTTTACTCATAGTTGCCAAAACTGAGAAGCAACCAAAATGTCAAGGGTGAATAGATAAAGCATCCATTGTGATACATCCAGATAATGGAATATTATTTAGCACCAAAAAGAAATGAGATATTAAGCCATGAAAAGATACGGATGAACCTTAAACCCACGTTAGTAAGTGAAAAAAAGCCAATTTGAAAAGGCTATGCACGGGCCGGCCGAGTGGCGCGATGGTTAGGGACTGGCTTGGGATGCCAGGGGGCCCCGGTTCAGATCCCACGTGTGAGGGCCAGTGATGTTGCCCTCCACAGCTAAGATGCTGAACAACAGCTCAACCTGGAGCTGGGCTACTGTGGGTTACTGGCGATGGCGTAGGCTGAAGCCCCTGTGGCAGTGGGTTACCATGGGCTGCCGTGTGTGAGTGGCCGGCAGCCACGGTGGGCGGCCGTTCAGAGGCCTGCGACTGATCTGCCTTGCCCGGGAAGAGTACAATGAAGGTGCCAACTTGGGCCAGTGAGGCGGTGTCCTCCACGGCTAGACTGAAGAACAAAACGACAGCAACTTGTCTGTTCCCCTTCCCTAATTCTCCAGCACTGTTCCCATCCCTCCAATTCCCCATTAAAAATCTTTAAAAAAAAAAAAAAGAAAGAAAAGGCTATGCACTGTGTGATTCCAACTGGATGACATTCTAAAAAAGCAAAACTCTGGAGACAGTAAAGAGATAAGTGTTTGCCCCGGGATGGGGGCAAGGGAGGATGAATAGGCATAAAACAGAGGATTTTCAGGGCAGTGAACCTACTCTGTTTGTGATTATAAGAGGGAACACATTTCATTATACATTTGTGTAAACCCATAGAATGGACAACACCAAGACTGACCCCTCATGTAAACTATGGGCTTTGAGTGATACTGATGTGTCCATGTAGGTTTATAGATTCTAGAAATGTCTCAGTCTGGCGCTGGATGGTGATAGTGGGGAAGTGTGTGTGTGTGTGTGTGTGTGTGTGTGTGTGTGTGTGTGTGTGTGTTGGTGGGAATGAGAGGGCATATGAGAACTTCCTGCTAAATTTTTCTATGAAACTAAAATGCTCTTAAAAATTAACTCTAAAGAAAGAATGAGAGTCCGAGGAGGAGGAAGGAGAAGGGAAAGGGGAAGACAGCCTCACAAGGCCCATCTCAGTGGCACCAACTCTGAAGTTTTTCATGGCCCCTCTTATCCTCTGTGTCCTGGCAAAAGAATTGCTCCTTTTTCTGTATTTGCACTATGTTTTTATTTCTACTTCTTTTACAGTTCCTATCACTTTACTATATTTGTATGCAGGTTTTATAGGAAAATATTATATTTATAGGGCCACAAGAATAATCAGGTGATTCTCCTAAGAATTAGATAGTCCTAGGTCCCACCCTGCCAGAGAGGAATAAAGTGATCAATAGCTTAGCACAATGTAACCTATCTCAACCTTTGGGGAGTATTATGGACTGAGTGTTTGTGTCTCCCCAAAATTCATATATTGAAAACCTAAACCCAATGTGACATTATTAGGAGTTGGGAACTTTAGAAAGTGATTTGTCATGAGTATGGAGCCCTTATGAATGGGATTAGGGCCTTTTAAAAAGAGATCCCAGGAAGCTTCCTCACCCTCGTTTTTTACAACAGGAAATGGTAGAAAAAAGACAGTTGTCTATGAGCTGGAAAGTGGGCCTCACCAAACACTGAATCTGCTGGTGCCTTAATTTGGACTTACTAGCATCCAGGACTGTGTGAAAAATTAATTGCTGTGTAAGCCCTCTGATCTATGGTATTTTTGTTATACCAGCCTGAACTTACAAAAACAGGGATTTGTACAGCTGTCAGGAAATTGCTGTAGACATCAGGGGCTGTCTGTATTTTACAGAGAGTAAGAAGAAGTGAGGTCAAAATACGAAAAAAAAAAAAAAGAGAAAGATTGAAATAAAAAGAGATGAGACTTTATTTTGAAACTACAGGATTGGTTTGTCAAAAGATATGTGTGTGTGTGTGTGTGTGTGTGTGTGTGTGTGTGAAGCATGTTCTGAAAGTATTTCAGCAGTTTAACCTTCACTAACTTCAGAGAAGAAAGTGCCACAGACTTACACCCCAGATCATTTGAAGGCTAATTTTTTACATTTATTTTGTAGTTAGTTCAGTTTTGTGTTAAATATTGAATTATTAATTTTAATTGAGTCAGCCTCTCTGATTAAAGAGAATAATGGCTAACTGAAATAAACTAAAATTTGCTATTAAAAATTCAGAGACCTAAGCGAAAAAACTTGAAGTTCTATGTCTGGGTTCATGTAAGGCAAAACATTCTATAGGAAAGATGGATTTGAGGACATATATGACCCTGAGTGTGAACGTCTGGGTACAAGCAACCATTCCAGGCAGCGTTTCAGACTTTCGAGGCAGCGGACGTGGTTAGCCCCAAGTCAAGGCCTCCACACAGTAAAGGGGTCCCCGGGTCATATCTGGGATACAGGTGGAACAAGCAGAACATTTCCTTAAGGTGAATATATGATGACAGATGGACTGGAAAATAGGCCGGCAGCGGAGGGCAGAGGGACCTAGGGGCCCAGGAGGATGCAGGGATCTGCTGGGCTGCTGGGTGGGGGAGGGGCTGTGTCACAGCCCTTTGTGACTCATCAATGGCCTGAGATGCAGACCTGGCAACCAAGTCAAGAGCCTGCACTCTCAGAGCTCAGTTGCCTCAGGCAGCTTGGCGATTCAATCACGGAATTCCCATGATGGAATGTGTTCGCATTTCTGAATAGCCTTATTGAAATCTGTGTGAGCTTCTGCTCAACATCTTTACAGGTTCTCCTCACTTGCCTGGGTGGGTTGTGTTCCCACCTTCTATTCTTGTACTACCTGCTGAAGATTCCATCTTTACCACCCGTCTGGGAAACCAAAAACATCCCAGACGTAAGGACCCCGAGGAGGCCCACCAGATTTTCTTTAGTGTTGTGTCCATTTCTAGTCCCACCTGTTATAATGAGCATGGCTGGCTCAGAGGAACAGCTGAGGTGGGGAGTCTGAGAGAACAGAACGTCCTTCTAGGAGAATAGGCTGGGCCGGGTTCGGGCTTCACCTGAGACTGTTTCCTTGGAAGCTCACAGATCATGTGGGTGTGGTAGAGGACTGATTCCAGGATCAAACCCCAAACTGTGATCACCTGGCCCCGGCCTGGGTTATTCAGAGAGTTTGGGATCTCTGCAAGAGAACCGAGATCCCCAGCACTTCATCAGGAGTCGTATTCCCATGTCAGGCATCACTCCACGAGCCTTCCTCTGTGGTGGGCTGCTCAGGAGAGCAGAGCTGAGCCTCTGAGAATCTCTGAGCAGAGACTGGAGCCTGAGCTCGGCCCCAGGTTACAGGAACCTGTCTGAGGGAGCAGAGATGCGACTGTTGGCCTCGGATTCTCCACCCTCCTTGAGCAGAGGACTTCCGACTGAGAATAGCAAGTGTGGGCCTCATAGACAAAATCCTTCATTGGGATTTTCAAAGAAGGGAAAATTGAAACCATTTTGAATCCATAAAAAATGGATCAAAGAAAGCAACACAAAGTTCTAGTAATTGAAATAGTCATGCTATTCTTGGCTCAAGAATGTCTGAGTTCCCTATGGAGAGAAGTGACAGAAATGATTCTCTTCTTTTCTCTCAGCAGTGGGGCAGAGCCAAGAGGAGAAGGAAAGGTGGGACATGGAAAGGTAATGTTCTGCCTGTTTCACCTGAGCTCTCCAAGGGTAACCCTTTCTGTCCTTTCCATGAGGTCTCAGGTCCATGGTCTCTGAGGACATTAGTTGCTAGATACAGCCTCTCTCAGAAAACAGGGCCATCAGAGGAGAGGCTCATGGGAAGGGAGACAGGCCCTGAGTCACTTCTCAGGTCCCCTGCTCTGCCATCCCTGGGCATGAGCAGTGATGGACCTGAGCAGGGGACATTGCCCAATCAATGCCAAGACTCAAACTTCTGTGTCTTGTCTTTGTTTAAGTGCTTTGACCTCTTGGGTGATGAGATCCCTCTCTGATGTAACCACTGACCTCTCTGTTTCACAGAGTTGTTCTGAATATAAAATGAGATCATGTTTGTGAAAATTTTACAAACGAAGCAACAGACACAATGGGAACTTTGTTCATATTACCATGGACCATTTCACATCATCGACTGATTCTTGGGGCTTTCCCAGTCTTACATCACAATGGTTTCCCAGAGAGGGACTCCTGCATAGTACCTATGCTTCTATTTCATCCCACATACCTCACTGTCCTGGTTTCCCAGGTTGGAGATATCACCGGAAGGCAGAAGAGGAGAAAAAGCGACTGATTTCTACCCACAAACGATGACTATTTTCACCCACTCTTCAGTGAATCCCTCTTTTGCATGTTCTATGCAATTCCAGGGACTCGGTGCAGCCTTCCATAGTCATGAGGTGGGGTAGCCATAGGAACAGCGATGGACATGAAGGCCTGGGGTGAGCGCTATTGAGTGTATTGTGACGTCAGGGATGTGGAGCAACGTGAAGGGCAGCAGGCTTCTTCCAGGTAGCCCCACCCTCACAGGGCCATTAGGTCCTCCTCTCTGTGTTCTGATCCTGGCTGTAGCTTTGTAACTCCTGTCCCTTGCAGCCCACTGCACCGGCATCATGCTACCATCCACTTTAGTCAACGGTTACTGCCAGACCCCTTCTGTCATGTGAGCAATAATGAACTGTTGAGGTCAATTGTCTACTGTTCCCTGAGACCTGAGAAGATGCTGCTCCCTCTGTGTCCCATTTGGCTCCCACAGTTTCTGTGATTGAGTCATTGTTCCCATCGAACCCCACCTACCCAGGGTTTCTGCCAGGATACCCTGTATGAACCCCTCTGCCTGAATCTTTTTCCAATATCACCCCCAATTCTCTCTCCTAATCCAATGACCCCCTTGTCTGACTTTCCTTCGCCCTCAACACTGGGTCACTCTTTGCCACCAGAGCCTTTCTTCCTTTGGAATCTGCATTCCCAGTGGACCATTCTCCACCCCAACCCCTTATCACCCCACAACATGGCACTCCAAGAGTGGATCGCTTCTCCAACCACAGGCCCTTTTGAATCTGAACACCATTTTTCTTAACCTCTCCTTTTCCCAAGGTATCAACCCCTTACCTGATTTGTCCCAGACAAAGAATCCCACTGGTTCACTGGCTTGTCATGAGGTACCACCAGTGCTGTCCACCTCACCACAACTGGGATACAACTCTACTGTGACTCACTCTAAATCAATTTCCATCCCATGGAAGTCTGATCCAGAGACCACCTCCAGATAGCCCTGGTGCATTGTCCACTCATGTCCCAACAGTCATGGGCATTGATCATTCCAGCCTGTCACTTGCAAGCCTTCCCTGGTGTAGACTAGTTCATGCCAAACACTTGTTCCCTTCCCCCTTGGCACAATGTGATTTCCAGCAAGAGTTTCTTGCCCTCATTCTTTACAGGCTTCTTTTGGGGGAGACCCAGCAGACAACCATGTAGGGTGTGGTCAGCTTCAGTTTCTGAACCCAGATCTTCTGGCATTCCCCGAGAGACAAGTCCAAAGAGGAGTCATTTCCTCAGGTGGAAGGGGGAGGGGAAGACAAATGGATCTTTCCCCAAACAACATAGGCCAGACTACCACCTCAATTCTTCAGGAGAACTTTTACCATCAACTCTGGTAGGCGTGGCTCGTTAGTCGCTCTTCCTCTCTGGAGAAACAAAGACAAACCAAAGGAACTGCATGTCCATCAGCAGCCCTCACATCCTAGGACCTGGCAGGATCAGTTGATGGAAAACTATATCCGGCTTTTCTGGGTTTTCCCATCTTTCCCCAGCGAGTCCTTGCTTTTTTCTGTCCATGTCTTGGGTGGCTATTCATCAATCTTTCCTTCCCATACCATCACAATTGCTCCCACCAGCCAACTATTCCTAGTACTTCTCAATGCCCTACCTCCATCCTTGCCTGGGGTCCAGCCACATCCCTTCCCTCAAGCCCTGCCCGAATCCCAGCTCCCACCTCTGTCAACTTCAACCACTGGTCCACCCACAATGCACACTCCCAAATGTAACATCTGCTCCTGTACCCCGGATTAGGATCTGTGGAGTTTCTATCCATCGCCCCCACAATAGAAGTTTGCCAACATCGGTAGGTGGGGACTATTTCTTGAATGCCTCCCAGGAGCTTCCCTTCCTTGGGTCCAGTGTGCAACAGATGCTGGAAGCCCATATGACAGAGTTTCAGTGGAGGATGCTGTCGGGCCTTCCCACCCAGGTCCTTGAGTCCACTGAAGTATTTACATGGATGGAGACCACAACCTTTTCCTTGTTACCTTCCAAATTCTCTCCATCAAACAATCTGATGTCTGAGGTGGACTCCAACTCTCGGGGCTACATGCCCCTTGGAGGAAGCTCTACTTGTCTTCATGGAGACAAAGTGGGACAGGCATGTTTTCCCTCTATCCTGTACAGTCTTCTCCCTGCCACCTCGCACTTGGGCAATGAAGGACAGGGAGCCCTGACTCCATCACCCTCTGATATCCACCATGGGTTTGCAGATGCTATTCAGAAAATAAGGGATGCAAGAGAAAATCTTCAGCCCGTCAGTCACAGCATCATAAGGAAAGCAAGTCACAGATGATTTCAGCACCCAAAGCATCCCCGCCAAAACCACCAAGCAGAGCGAGGGCCAGATGGGATGCGAAGGATAAGAGTGTACTATCCAGTAATACAGAAGAACTGCAACAGATAAAAAGATGGGGAACAGTTCAGGACCTGTCTTCCATTCCCTTGTCGGGGGAGTTGACCGGGGCTGAGGAGCTCAGTGTTCATCACTTCCAAAGTAGTGACATCCTGACAAGCAGCAAGCCGGGACTCTCCCATGGGATAACTGTGAATGAGGCCCAAGGCCAACCCAGGGACATGTCCATTGCCTCAGAGAGCTTAACTCACAAAGCCTCCCTGGCTCAGGCTCAGGGTGTCTCCAGTGTAAACGTGGGAGCTTCCCGGGGGCGGCCTGTCCATGTGGAAGACCGAGGAGTCAGTAGGGAGCAGCCGCAGGAACCTCGGGGCCCTAAGTGGGTCTTCAGGTGGAATCAGAAGATTACTCCACCAGGTAAAAGGTTTGTGAGTCCTCAAGGCCCCACATCAGACAGGCTTGGTGGAAGCGATCCAAGGTTGGGATCATCCCCACCTAGAAGGAACAATGTTCCTACTCAGGACATGGCATTAAAAGAGGTGCTTGGGAGCAAGTCTTCCCAGGCCATGGCACAGAAGGGGCAGCCTGCTCCTGAAAGACGATTTAGAAAACAAATGAGATGCTGTTGTCCTTGTCTTGCTATTGAGACAGAAGGCAAAAACCAAGAAATCTCCCAGGAAAAGGGCAGCCCCGTATCATCTGCACACAGCAGATGCCCAGATCAAGGTGGAGCTGCCTTTCCTGGGATGACCAGAGATCACAAAGTCAGGACAGGCATTGGGAGGTACCTGCGGGAGAAACTGGGGCGTCGGCATGCAGCAGATATCCCCTGCCCTCAAGACCCCCTTCCCTCCCCAGAGAATTCTGGGAAAGCTCAGCAGAAGGCAGAAGCACAGACCCAGGCAGGCCCCCCCCCCCCAAGGGGCCTCCTCTCAACTCCAGGGCTTCATGCTGTAAGGTGACAAATACAACTTCATGCCAAGAAGAAGCTGTCTTTTCTGGCAGGAGCTCTCCAAGTATTTCCCAAGTCAGACACAAGGACATTACATTTATGGAGCGGCTATTCAGTCAGAAGGACCCCGAATCTGGGCCTCATAGGGAGACTGGCCCATCCAAGTCCCACCTCAAGCCATCAAGCTGGCCAGGGGTCTCAGGCTACTCTCTCTCACCACTGCTGATGGCACAGCTTTCAGAGATATGTGTTTACTACTTTGACGCAAAAGCGGTCACCGTCATTGCAAGGGGAAATATTTCCCCACCCCCAAGTAATTCCTCCCTTGGGATGAATGTTGATTTTTCCTAATAAACTTTTCTTTAATAACAGTGCTGTTTTCGCTGTGCACTGTTTAGGGGGCATGGGTTTTGGGTCACTCAAGGCTTGTGCTTAGGGAAAGGAAGGAGTTAGTTCAGCCCTTACCTATTGCTCCCTGTGGCTTCTGAAAGGTGACCAGTCCCCTGCAGCTCTAGCTGAGAAATAGATAGCATGTCCCCCAAAAGCCCATTTAGTCCCTGGTGAAGTGTGAGGAGATGGGCTGTGCCTCCTGCCTCTTAGCCGAGTATCAGTGACCGTGTACCGCAGCCCACACCTTCTCCTCATGGATGCCGCATATCCTGTAGTGCGGTGGGGAGACGGGCCTTCTGCATCTGAAGAGGGTCGAGCACAGGTACATTTTCAGGAAGTATCAGTGAAGAAGAAACAGCGGCTTCATCATTATGGAGAAGTCAGTGATGAGGATCCCAAGGAGGGTGAATCCACTGTTCACAGGGTAGCTAGAAGCCATGAGATGCGAAATTTTCGTCCAAACCCTTGAAAGAATCACTTTCAATTTCTCCCTTTCTTTTTTCTTTCCTTTTATATGGAAAGAGATTTCCTTCCTCACCTCATAAAATAATAAACAATGAGAATATAAATGACCTTTCCTGAAATCTCCTTCCTGAGAAATAGATAAACCCTGGTCTTGATGGGCTCATGTGTCTTCACAATAATGCTTATGTGCCTCCACAGGAATGCTTTTGCAGCATCTCCTGTCCCTAGGCGGCACCCTACATCATTTCTTTTTTAAAATCTTGTTATTACAGAAATGGTTGAACATGCACAAGAGCAGATAGATCAATATATCTTCTCATGTACACTCACCCAACTTTTCAATTATCATCTGCATATGTGATACTACCTAGTTTTTACACTACTATAAAGTGAGAAAGCCCATCAAAGCATCTTTGACATTTCTCACCTGTGGAACACACTTATACACCATGGATATAAACAGTTTTGGTGAAGAAAAGGCATGGAGCTCCTCGATGCTTTGACAATCAGTCCTGTGCTACCTTTTACTCAACTCCAAGTGATCATTTGAGTGGTTTACCCTTCAAGGTCATCCAAGAAAAAACCTCACAGAGCAAGCCCAGTGCACAATATTGCTGTCCTTAATCACATAGTCACTATACTAACATGAAAAAAGGATAGAAGTCTATACATGTTGATAGGACTTGATATTGCATGTGTGTTCTCAAATATTTAGAAAAAAACTTTTCATGTCATACATTAAAATGAGCTATTGTATTTTGAGTTAAACACGTCCATAAATGCTATGAAAAGGAAAAGATGAGAAGATGCTCAACATCATTAGCCATAGGAAAATGCAAATCAGAACCATTGTGTGAAAGCTCACACACACACACGCACACACACACACACACACACACACACACACACACACACACATGGTTAGAATCTAAAAGAGTCTGATAAGTGTCACTGAGAATGAGGAGAAAGTAGAAAGCACATAAACTGTTGGTGGGAATGAAAACTGGTGCAGCCACTTGGCAAAACATCTGGTGCTCTCTGAAAATGTTGAACATAGAGTTACCATATGACCCAGCAATTCCACTTCTAAGTATATGTTCCAGAGAAATAAAAACATGTCCACATAAAACTGTACACCTACTTCATAGAGTTCAAAGATGGAAACAACCAAATGTCCATCAACTGATGAATGGGTAAATAAACATAGTATATCCATACAATGTGACATGTTTTGGCAATAAAAAATACTGATACATGCTACAATGTGGATGAAACTTGAAAACATTATGCTAAGCGAATGAAGCCAGTCACAGGTGAGCACCCATGATCCCATTCATATGAAATGTCCACATACGGAAATCTACAGAGACAAGGTAGATTAGTCATTGCCTAGGCCTGGGGAGAGAGGGAAGAGGTGGATGATAGCTAAACGTCATGAGGTTTCTTTTTGAAATCATGAATATTTTAACATTGACTCTGGTAATGGTAATCTGTGAATGTAAAACAAACATGGAATTATACACTTTTAATGGGAGAATTATGTGGTATGTGAAGCATAAATTCAATAAAGCTGTTAAAATGAGTGCAAGATTTAAAAAGAGTAAGTGCTTGAGAATAATAAGAAAGGGTGAGCATAGAACAAAAGACGTCAACATGTTTTGGGCAGATGGAAATCCGTGAGGAGTGGTAAGTGACTGGCAGAGCAGAGGAAGTGCTGACAAAGCATTTCACGACTCAGAACCCAGAAGATGGACAACCTGGCTGCACCAGGTAAGAAAGAAATCAGAGGTTCCATGCTGTAAACATCTTTAATTTAGTTTTGGTTTTATACCGTATATTTTTAAACAAACAAACGAACAAATAAAATTTGTGGAGGGGAGGGCTGCTCTCCAGCATTTTGTAAAACCCTGTGGCAAAGTTAGAATGCTCAGTGTGCAGAGGCTCCTAGGTTTCTTGCTGGGACAGAAGCCGAGACAACTGTTTTCAAGTTGCGTTGCACACTTCTGGGGTCTGGCTGTGGTGGCGAGGGTAGCTGTGGATTTCAAAGGCAGAAATCTCAAAGGTCAGGTAAAATTAAGAAAAAACAGTGAATGGTACATTTAAAAATGTATTTATTTCCCAATAAGTAAACTTGTGAAAAAGTTGTATGGATGGTAAAACCATAAACTGTATATCCAGGTTTATCTAATATTTTGACTCATTTACCATCTCCTGTCTCTCTCTCTCTGTTCCTCCCTCCTGCCCTCCCTCCTATGTCTCTCTATATAAACACACATACCCACGTATGAAAATTGCACATACATTCCTGAAAATTTGAGAATACATTTCATGCACTTTGTCCTGGAAGATTTCTTTGTATGTTTCTTAGGACAAGGCATAGCGTCCTCTATACAGTACAGTTATTCCCTTTAGTCAGTTTAAAATTTGTCATAAGACTTTTAACTAATCTCTTATTCATATACTATTTTTGGCAATATATTGAGTAATGTCCATAGTAACTTTTTTATAAGCGCCTGTTACAGGAGCTGTGTAGAATCGCATATTGCATTTAGTAATTCTGGGTTTTTAATCTCCTTTAAAGTGGATCAGTGTTTCAGCCTTTGTTTTTCATAACAAGGCCATTTTTGGAGAATATATTCAATGTGACATTTTAATACCTTTTCTCATCTGGAAATTTCTTGGTGGAGCTTATCATACTTAGACTTGATGTGTTTACTGTTGTCAGTCCTAGGGCTCATAGGGACACTCAGGACCAGACTTGGCATGAAAAAAAAACATACCAGAGAGGCAGAGATATGCGGAGGGATTTTTCTGAACAGGCACACCTCTGGCAGGCACAGGAGGGCCTGGAGAGGGGCTGGCCTTGAAGTGTCCCTTCCTACTGAGTGGGGACAACGGTGAAGCTGTGGAGGCTGGAGGAGAAGGCAAACAAGGGGCTGTCATTACTGGGGAACCTTCCTCATACGGGAGGGAAAGGATGGGGTGTCTGGGGCCACGACTAACTCATCAGGCTCATGGAGGGAATGCAGGCAAAGAAAGTGAGAAAATGACACAGGGCTTCAGTTGAGCCGTTTCTAAAGTAAATAATGAAGCAAAAGGGGTTATAACTGTCAAATGACTAGCTGGCACGGGGAGAGGAAACAAGTACATATACACCATCCACAGAAGTACTTTATTGTTTCAAAAGGTATGCAGGTCCAACAGAAATTATGGTGAAATGTTAGAAAGCAGATAGGAAAAAAATAAAACTTTCCATGGGAGAGTAACCATAAATGTGATACAAAAAAGTGAAAAGGTATTGCTAAATATAATTAAAATTGTGCTCATTAGAATTTATGCTAAAGAGAAGCCCACTGCCTACAAGATCAAAATAAGTTTGGTCCTGTGAGGTGTGGGCCAGCACAGCTACAATGTAAATGTTTCATGGAAGACAGGTTTGGGGAGAGAGAAGAAAGAGCAAACAGCAGGGCGGGATGGTGAATATGTGGAAGGGGCTGGAGAGCCTGAAAGGGACGTTGGGAGAAAAAGGATGACTAAAGATTTTACAGTCAATCGCCGTGGGTCCATGGGGCTGCCAGGTCCCCATCGCCCTCTTCGGCATCCTTTCTGTTCCTTGCTACAGGCCACTCTGCTCGCTCACGCTTTTTGGTGACTGTGGATTCTTTGGGGGAGATGTGGTGTTGGGGCTGCTGCTGACGATGTTCCTGGCTTCATGCAGGTAAAAACACATCACGTGTAAGTGGAAGCTGTAGTGAGGACAGAGTAGAATTTGGGAGTACAAATCCATGGGCACGGAAGGCTTTCCAAGAGTATGTGGGGTCCAAATGGAGAACACCAGGCAGTAAAAGGGTCTCAGGTATTATCTGGGTATCAGGCTGAATAAGTAGAAAATTTCACTGAGACAAATAAAATATATGGTATGGTGAATGGGTAGAGATGGACTTTGGCTGGAGGGATCAAAAGGGCTCTGGGGATATGGACCAATCTGCTGGGCTGGAGGATGGAGGGAAGGGATGGGGGTTCATCTCCCTTGAGGTGTCCCCTCCCCAACCCTCAAGAACCTTTGGTTCTGTGCCAAGCTCTATGACATGGGCCTGGAACTCTAGTCTAGATTGTGCACTCAGTGCACAGCAGCCTGATGCAGCAATGCCCTTCCCATGATGCACGCCACCTCCTTTGTCTGAGGAGCCTCACTGCACTGTGGCCCAGCTCCTGCTCAGCTCCCCAGGTATTCCCATCCTTGTCTTCCTGTGTGGGATGGGTTCCTCCTTCTGTCACTGAGCTACCTCAACAGGAATCCATGTTTCCCAGAACTTTGGAAACACAGACATCAATCAGGTAAGTAAACCAGAGTCCCTCAGAGATATTAAATCTTTCTTTCCAAATAGATGAATTCAGTGCTATCAATTTTTCTCTCAGCACTGCTTTAACTACATCTCACAAATTTTAAGTTGTATTTTTGTTTTCATTTAGGTAAAAATTCTTCCTTCTTTTGA